GATATGAATTAGATTTCTAGAGAATGGTCCCTTCCTTTGAACTCATGAAAGTTTTCAAAAGGAGTAAAACCATTAAAATGAACTCTTGACTACTTATTTCATCCAAATGAGAGCCAGGGCTGAAAGTGAAGAAATATAATGAATAAACTAGAGGTGATTTACGGTTATTTATTGTGATGTTTCCCACTTATGGACCACCAACAGAAACCTTAATTATTTAGGTCAACCCTGGTTCATGCTCAGTGCTTATTCTAGAAATCAGCATTGTTACACACACGTCAAAATATTGATGACAACTGAAAAAATCCAACACCTAATGGTCATCAATAATGCCAACTGCCAGTGATAATAAAATCTGAATACAAATTTTTTCTTTTTGTTTGAAAAATCTTTGTGGCACTTCACACTACGACCAACTTGAAATTACTACTCCATGATGTTTTACAGACCTTGAGACATCTACATCAATGAAGGCAATCAAGGTTGTCTTTTAAGATAGTGATCAGAAGTCTTTGTGACTGCAAGGAGGAAGGTGTGGAGAAACTGATCAATCAACCAACAAGCTGGGCATAAATAAGGCATTACCTAACAACTTCATGAAAAATTTCCTTGGGCAATAAGCACACTCTTTCCCTGGCGTCCTCACAGTATGCTAAGTAGTAAAAGTATATTGAGACACCAGTTGCTGCAATGCCTGGTTGAGGGACTTCCAGAAGATGCTGGTCAAAACAGAGATCTCAATTTTTGAGCATTGAGCTTTGAGTTTTAGAACGGAGTAGGAATTACGATACGTCAGTTTTGAGGGGGGAAAGGCACGTTTTGGAGAAAAGAAAATGAGCCATACCCTTACAGTCTTTCTGTGATATTCCATTTGTTTTCGGCACTGTTTCGGCAAACGTGTCCTGCATACATGCATCGGTATCATATAAAGAAATTTTTTGAGGTTTGTTGTTGCGGGTTGTTCTCACTGAAAATATAATGAAACAAAAACATAAGGCAATCAAACATCTTAAGAACAGTTCAAAGCTTTTGCTTTCTTCACTTACTATTACTATCCACATTCAGTAACTTTGATTATCAGAGGAAAAAAGAAGTGATGCCAAAACCTAATTTCACAAATAGTGTAAAATCCACAATAATGTTCGAAGATGCCGAATGAGTTGTTTGATGATGCTCAAGCTACGACAAGCAAAATAAAATCACTCTTAGAGCGTAGTTTGCTTACGAAAATACACTTGCTTGCGGCCATTTTTTTCTAATTTTGACTGAGAAGTTTCCTCAAATTTGAGGAGGATTTGCAAAACTAACGGACAGTTGAATCTGCTAGTCAAATCTCCAGCAGTGGATAGGAGAGTGGGTCAGAAAGCGCAGAAAAAGCTTTACTGCCCAATTTTCCTCATTTTCATTGTTTGTAGCAGATGACAAAGTTTTTTTTTTTTTATTTGTTATATTTTAAGCACTTTCTTTGATAATACTTTTATTAACTTTATACAGGGTGTCCGGAAATTAACGTACTTAACTTTCAGGATAGCTTTTTCGGCTCAAAATAAGACTTTTCTTTCCTATACACATATGCCCGAAAACGCTTCATACGTGAGCTATGCGCTTACAAAGTTGCCATTATTTTTCGTTCAAATTAATATAGCTCCTCGTCATTTTTTCATAGGTGGCTGAAACTTTGAATAGGGGGGTATTTTTTAGCGCTCTATTCATTTTTTGTGTTTTCAAGGACGTACGTCTTCGAAAAATGACGTCAGAAGCTTTCCCGCATTTGAAAAATGCGATAACTTTTTTGGTAGATGAAATTTCGAAAAAACGGATTACGGCACGTGAAAGAGCGTAAAAAATCAAGGGGTCTAAGTACGGCACAAAATTTTCCAGAAACGCGTTATTTCGACGCAAAAGAACTTTGAAAAATTTTAAGATTTTCGAAGCTCCTTGCCGTGTAGGCAATTTTTACTGCAAGAATTGAAAAATTGCCTACAGAGCAAGGGGCTTCGAAAACCTCGAAGCTATTGAGACGGCTCTTGACCTTTCCCTCACACTTTTTTAAGGCTTGGGACTGGCCCGAGCATCATCTTACGAAAGTCGCGGTTAGACGGCGATATTTTAGATATCAAATATCCATCGAAAAATCATACTTGGAGGCTTATCGAAAACATGGTTCTATGGAGCTTCGAAAATCTTAAAATTTTTCAAAGTTCTTTTGCGTCGAAATAACGCGTTTCTGGAAAATTTTGTGCAGTACTTGGACACCTTGATTTTTTAAGCTCTTTCACGTGCCGTAATCCGTTTTTCGAAATTTCATCTACCAAAAAAGTTATCGCATTTTTCAAATTCGGGAAAGCTTCTGACGTCATTTTTCGAAGACGTACGTCCTTGAAAACACAAAAAATGAATAGAGCGCTAAAAAATACCCCCCTATGCAAAGTTTCCGCCACCTATGAAAAAATGACGAGGAGCTATATTAATTTGAACGAAAAATAATGGCAACTTTGTAAGCGCATAGCTCACGTATGAAGCGTTTTCGGGCATATGTGTATAGGAAAGAAAAGTCTTATTTTGAGCCGAAAAAGCTATCCTGAAAGTTAAGTACGTTAACTTCCGGACACCCTGTATATTTGATTTATAATTTTAGATACAGTTAGTGTTTATATGCCTGTGTTGGATTTTCACTTACCTGCTG